TGTCATAATATAGTTTAGTAAAATTCTCAAGATTTTCTACAGGAAGTAGAAGCAAAAGTTTTGTCAAATAGATTCTTAATAATTCTACGAAAAAAGGAATATTATAATTGAGAGAATATTAAGAGCTTGCAATATCTAAAAGTAATAAAATTTTCTCATGAGTGACGTGCTCCTTATTCCTTTCATGTTGTCGATGTTCTCACATGTGATTATTCTCATTGATCATAGGTGTCCTTAGAATTTCATAGATTAGGTAAGAAAGGAAGTAGTAGCTTGGATTCTTTAACAGTTCGTTACGATAAGATCGATCCAGTTTTAGTTAATGACATGTCGAATATAATGACATGATGCGTCGCTTCAACTCTAGTGACCATAACTAGTCGCCCTCGTTGATTAGTATTGACACTTGTGAAGTCATGTTTACTCATAGTTATGCAATCGCATGTCGATATAGAGTATACTAGGATTGCTTGATTTTGATCATCCTATGATCGAGAGTCCTTCCAACTTAATATTGAGATGAAATGTTGGTTCTAACGACATCAACTTAACAGTTAGTACTCTCATTTGGAAATTAATTAAATTTTTTTTTTATGACAATAGGTGTTCATGTGAGTTTACGCGCACCTCGACTAATTGCATGGGGCCTTGAAGTCTCACTTCAGTGGTTTTGAAAGGACTCGTATTGATGACCATTAAGGTGTAAACCTAAGGCCTGACGATTGAGTTACTCCTCAAAGTTGGAAATGAATTAATTCACTTAAACTTTCTTGATATTGAATAATTCAAAAATTAAGAAATTGATTAAGAATGATCACACAGGCGGTTACCAGCTAATCAGAAGAAAATAAGTTTGCACCAATTATATATAAGCTTCAAATAAATTATAAGTGTCTTGGTTTAAAATAGGTTCATGGACGATGCAGTAGCTAAGAAATCAACTAAAAGTGGTCAAAAGAACCTCAAAAGTGGCCAGTTAGGTAATTTTTAATTAAAAAAAAATCTAACTCAAAGAACCCTACTTGACTTACACTTGACCTAAAGACACAAAAATCCAATTATAGTGTTACCTGAAATTGAATGAAACTTTAAATATATTTTTGCATTACTTATTAATAAGACTTCAAAATTCAATTACTTCATAAAATTTAATTAATACTCGAGGACACTGGACTATCGTATAAATTAATTCATACTATCAAATATGGTCATATACCTTATGCAACATTCTGCCATTAGTTCATATTAGATTGTCTAACTACAACCATAAAATATGAAAAATTGAAAGTGCTTATAAATGGTGTAAAAACCAAAATAATAATAATAATAATTGAATTTATGATATCCAATAAATCCCAGACCATGATGTTAACGTGGTAATTATTTCATACTCATAGGCCCATGAATGAAATAAGTTCAACAACTAAATTCATAAACTCCACCCGATCCAATTGTGTTCTCTCCTGGATGGATTGAATCTTAGTCTGTTTACTTTCCTTTTGGTCCAATTAAAAGTCTAACCCTAGACTACATATAAAGCAACAAACCCTAGCCACTTTCTTCTATAATTTGTGTGGTTTTGTGAGAAAAATAAGAGAATCCCGACTGCCCCCTTTGGGTGTGTGAAATATGGCTCTTAAATGTATCCAAAACACTTGTTTACTTTGTATAACTGGTGGTTCCTTCATAGCCACCTTTGTGGTGTTTTCTCTTAGTCTTTGTGGTCACAAATCATCACCGTTTCTTGTCCTTCGTGGGTAAGATTAAATAACAATCGAGGTGAATTATATTGGTTGTGGATCGGAGCCGGTTGTTTTGGTTGTTAGTAGAGAAAGATACATTGGATTGAACCCGAAAATCACCGATTTAAAAATCTTTGAAGAGAGAACAACAACAACAACAACAACAACAACAACAACAACAACAATAATAATAGTAATAATAATAATCATTTTTATCCATATTTCGTGGTCTCACTTATCTCTCACCAACAAACACATTTGTCAGCCAATGTTACCTATATAATACTACGTGCTTGTCTGCATGATTATGTAACAGCACGAACGAACATAAATTAAAATGAAATTATTAACATAACTGGAAATAAATAAGCTTGTAAATTCATGGTTAATTGTTAGAACTGGAGATATTTTGCAAACGCTTATATATCTTCTTGACCGATGGAATCTTTGAACTTAAACCAGAAATAAATAAGCTTGTAAGTTCATGGTTAATTGTCAGAACTGAAAATATTTTTCAAACAAATATATCTTTTCGAACAATCTCTCAATATTGAAGAAGAAAAAGAAAAAAAAATTATTCAAAGTGTGTTCCCGGGCAAGCAAACACAGTGGTGTACTGGATGAATCCAATCTATATACATCATAATTATGTATGCCATTACCAATTAATAGGGCCCATTTGATAAATTTTCTAGAAAGTCAAAAGTTGCTTTGAATACTAAGAAACTGTTTTTGAATACATTTAGATAATTTTTCGAAAGTTATTTGTCGAGTTCGAAGAACTTTTAAAAAAACTTGGTATAAAATAGCTTCATAATAAAGTTCTTTTAAAACGAGTTAGAGCAAGATTAGAAATCTTACCAAACCTGTCCATAACTGATGATAAAGAGCTTTCTTACCATACCAATTTTCTACATGTACAAATTTTTTTTGCCAGGATTCTTACAGATGCACACTTGTCAAAATTTGATTCATAGTTGGCCAAAAAAAAAAAAAAAAAAAAAAAAAAAAAAAGAAAAAAAAAAAAAAATTACAAAAAATGGGCTGCTAAT